TGGGAAGCTGTGGAGGTGGCATCTCCAGAGCAAGCAAGCCAGTACTTGCGTCAACTGTAGAGGGAGACATTCAAGCCTACTCAAGACCACTCTCTGCCCCCCCCCCCCCCCCCCCCCCCCCCACACACACACACACACACACACACGAACGTGGATAAGCCTCAGCCTATCTGGTAAAAGGCAAATAAATAAACCAAACCTTTGCCATTTTTTTGAACAGTAATGCTTTCTAATCCATCCGTGCTCCAATCACTAACCCCACTGTTTTTGTACACCTTAACGAACAAACCATCATGGACAATGAATACCTGAATACTGGTGTATTGGGAGCTAGGAGGGAATAAAAACATGGACTGACTGGGGTCCCAGAGGACCGGGTTCAGAAAACACGGACTGATCCAGTGCTATCTGTCTACGACAAACAGGTTGTACCTCAAAATGGAGGTATGTCAGAACAGAGAAATCGCACTGACTTTTCTGTGTAAGAATGAGACTGGGAGATGCGTGTGAGGCTGGGATGGTTGTGTTACCATACAACATAGTACTTTAGAAGACTTGATGTCATGCGATAACATCATATATGTCAGAAATATTTTGCATGAGAATATTTTAATTTACAATGTCGACAATAAACACATGATTAGAATATTTATCAATACAATGTTTTTTTTTTTTTATATATCTTGATGTGGCAATTTGACACAGATATTCCTCCAGTATTTCTGAAACAGATACAATGGAGACCCTTGGAAACTACACCTTTTAACAATATAGTCACATTGTTTGGCTCAGTGGGCTAAGCCTCTGTGTTTGTGATCAGAAAGTCCCTAGTCTGAGCCTGACCTCAGCAGATTGGTCACATATTGGTGGTCCCTGGAGCAAGGTGCCACCTCCCTGAGTGCCATAGGGTGGGCAGCCCCTTTGCTGGGACCCCAAGCCTATTGTCACCTGTAAGGAGGGCAAGACTGGGGCAAATAAAATTTCCACAGAGGAGTTAGTGCCAAATCAATATTCCATTATAAAACAAATATTACCATGGAAACAAAGATTGTGGATGTTGGCAGCAACAAGTTTTGATTTGTATTATAGACACTCTAAATTCTATTTGATTTTTCTGCAAACTTAAGAGCAAAGGAGCGGTAATAATCCATTCTGTGATACATTAATGTAACAGAATATGACTAAATCTGAAGCAAGAGTTTGGTGACTAATTTTTGTGATGCCTGTTCTAGATCACATACACCCTCCCACCCCCCATTTTCACATCTGACAAACTCTCAGGTGTCCCAGGTGTCGACGGTAATTGAATGTTTTTCTCACTTTCTTTTGGTGAAGGAAACAAAGAAGATCAGAATCTGTGATTTTCCCACTCCTCGCTGTTCATGACAGTGGCAGTGACGTTAACTTGTATGTGTGTATACTTGCATGTATATTTAGCGTTCTGTGATATACATTTTTTTTCTTTGGGAATTTAATGCTCGTTAACTACAGCTGATCAGTATGAATCTAAATCTACAGTGAGCTATTGTGTGGCCCTTTGTATCGGCATATCCTTACTGCCCTAACTGTTACTGCTGCAGCTGGGAAATACAAGCAATTCACCAGTTTATAACTCAATATGCTACTGTCATGTTGAAACACAGGGAAAAAAAGAGCTATTGAATTTTTTGCCTTTTTTTGCGGCTAGATGAGAACCATTGCAGTTTTGAGGAAACCCAGTGAGAATAGAAAGAAATAAATATATATAATATAAAATAAAATAATGAATGACAGGGCGATGCATTCGCAGAGACAAACACAGCGTGACAGCAAAATGGGAAAATGAGAAGCTCTCAGCAATTTCCTGCCTGAAGAGATTTAAATAATAAAAAGTGTCGTCCTCTGAACAAACAGGATAATTATGGCCTGTGGCCTTTTAGTGGTGTCCCGTCGTTGCTCCTCCCATGAAAGAGCCTGCCACTCATTACCGCACCTCTTCCAAGCCTTTACCACGGTAGCGTTGGTGTAAGACCCTCAGGGAGATAAAACGGTGCCTTCATCAACAATGGCAGGAGCAAAAGAAGGAGGCCGTAAGGACATGAGCTACGTAAAAAGCATTTAAAAACTGTATGGTGTGTTTGTCTGCAGCACCTGTAACAGGCTGACTTCATAGACCAAGCAACACAAAATGTTTTTCTGATGAAGGCTGACTCTCATGGGTTAGAAGAAAAAAATCACGAATCTAATATCTTTTAAAAGTGAGTCCTAACAATCTAACAACCAAGCGCATAGATGGAGAACACGGCTCCCGTACTCGCGCTCACACTCGCATTAATGTAACTCATTTACACGCCTGATTTATTGACACCTCCCTGAATGATTCATGGACTTGAAAGAACAAACTTCTCTAAATTGGCCTTCAGTGGTAACAAAAATCTGTTTGTGAATAAAAATGAAGCCAGACAAATGTGAAAACAAGAAAACCTTTCAACTTCACCTATAAGCTGTGAGTCATATATATCTGCTGGTGTTACATAATCCAGGCAACACAATACTTTGACTTTTGAGACAACCTATGAGCTAAACACTCAAACCATATTTCTTTGAATGATGACTTTGGTTTCTTAGCACTGTATCCATCAATTCATCTAATCATCCATCCACCCATCCATCCATCCATCTTCCACGCAATGTGGGACCCAGAAGCGTATTTTAACAAACCCAGGGCACCACAAAATGGACACCCTTAAATGGACACCATTCAATTGCATGTGTTATAACATCCTTTCATAATACCAGTTAAAAGCATGTGTTTGAAATAATGTTCCTATTCACCACATTTGTCCCTGTGTCTGTCCCTGTATCCACCTGGCTGTTTCATTCCCGTGTCCATCCACTGTCTTCAGTGTCTCTGAGTCCTTTGGCAGCTGACTCATCTTGACCCTGTTTTTATTTCCCGCCAACTTGCGCTGACCTACGTTCACACACCACATGCCCACAATGCATGAATTTACTCTCAATTGCTACAAAAACAATGCAAAGCCTCTGTGGTCACACCACAGAACTACTTTTAATTATGTAAATAAGTATAACAGTTTTATTTGTGAAAATTTATGTTTTACTTATTTTTGTTGTATGATAATATGAAGGCAGGCAGGGCAGAAAAAGAAATATATGAAATGCTAAAATTATATTTGGATAGCCCTTATAATAAGTAAATGCAATCAGCGTATTTATCTGTTTTTGTTTGCCTAAATGTCATCTGTATTTCATAAGAACAAATGTGTTTATTAATTTTTCTCACAAACCAATTAAGCAGAAACCCCTGTAGATGCATGCATGCATCTATCTTCCATAATCTTTCGAATCATGGCCATTCTTTCTTAGCATTGTCTCCATCCATCCATCCATACATCCATCCATCCATCTATCCAATGCAGCTTATCCCAGCAAGCACAAGGCAATTGGCAGTAGACATGCTGGATGGGGCACCAGTCTGTCTCAGGCCAGATTTTCAGATTCACATTCCCACAAAATGCAATTTAGAGACACCAGTTCACCTGATTGCATGTTTTTGAGCTGCTGGAGAATCCTGAAATGCCCTGAAAAAACCCAAGCAAAAGCCAAGAAAGCAGTAAGCAAATTCAAAAATAATGCAAACCCCACTGTCTAGGGTATAAATCAAACCCACAGCATAGATGTGAGGCTGCAGCACTGACCATAAAGGTGTCCTCTGAATGTGCAAATAAAACGCCTGAGGTTATAGTGGCCCACCTGACTTGCCATATTTATAATTATACTGCTCTAGTGGGCCACCCTGCCTTTGCTCCTTGTATATACCATTTATATACTGCTCTAGTGGGCCACCCTGCCTTTGCTCCTTGTATGTACCATTGTGGTGGCCCGTTTAACATTAAATAAGTCTTGTTACTCCCATGATGATTTTGCCGCCTTTTCTGTTCCTACTCACTTCATTAAAGTCCCACCTGTTGTCACTGCACTTATTAAGTCCTTGGATGGCCAACCCACACTTCCGTATGTTTCTTCTTTACTCATGTGGCGAAGCTCCTGCTTCACCGCTCTTACTTACTGTGTCGGTAGCCCAGCACCGGCATTACTGAGTTTATTGAGTCCCAGAAGGGCACTCCTGCTTTCGGCGTGCTTATTCGCAGCATCCGTGGAGCTCCTGGCTCTCCGGTCCTCGGTGCCTTTGTTAAGAGCGCCGGCCAACCCGCAGTGACCCTGCTCTGTCTGTCATGATTTAGAGTCTCCAGCAATGCAGGCGGCCACGCTCCATAACTCTGCACCCAGCAATTTATGAGTGTCAGAAGCACTGGGGACATTTATTCATAAAACACTTATAAATAAAACATGGGGGGCTGGGGGGGGCATGATTTGCCAGTGTGTGACAGGCAGGTCAGTGAGGGAATTATTTCTGCAGATAGGAATTGATGGAAGATGTGTCACCCAGTCGCTGTTATACATTGAGAAAAAGGCAATAGAACAGCATGGGAAATGTCTGTGACACAAGTTGTGTGTTGATATTATAGTCCATCTCATGAGGGAGACATATCTGTGTGTCTAACTCCAGCCCGACAGATGAACATACACAAGAGCATCAACACGCAACATGCATGAAGACTGTGATTTTCCGAAATGAAGCACATGCAACATACTTGCTTTAAATTTCATCCAAAGCAGTGATCCCAAGTGTGATACTATAGAGCAAAGGCTTAAAGGCTCATGAGGCCAACGCGAGTCATACTCTCTCCGAATATTCTCAAATTAAAAATGTTAAAGGTAAATCATGCATATATTCAGCTTTTTTCCCCCTCTCTGACTCAGTACACAATTTGCCGGGTTGAACATACCTTAACAAGCCCAGTAATTTGGACCGCGCACAGTAGTCTGCTGAGGTTGACAGCGTACTGTGAAAAATAGAGAATCTCCATAAGGAGGTGAAGATAAAAGCAGCGAACAGGAAACTGATGACAGAATTATGAAAACTTACAGCCAATCCAGGAAAGGGTCCTTGACTTCCAGGAGAGTTAAGCTTTTTAAGAGATATACCTTCTGCAGGAGCCATACCTTCTGGTTCCTGCTGGGGGAGATGCTGAACTTTTATCACAGCACCTAAAGGTCCCCACATTTTCAAAGTGGCATCTTCCCAGCCCAATCACTGCTCTTGATGATTTTGACATTGGTATGGCTCACCTAAACAGAGGTACTCTATATTCCTTGGAAAACAGAGTTGTTCAGCCCAAATACTTCATCGACACATTCATGGTGGGAATTGGGTGATTTCCTTTATTCAAGCTTCAAGTTGGCAGGGCGTAAATGTTGTCTGAAAACGACTTTTGCTGGGAGTGGTCTCTTCCACAAGATGGCACTTTGACAAAGAGACAATATGTGTTCCTTGTAGGCACCATGATGTAAGGCAAGCGAGAATCGAATAGCGCAAACTCCTTCTCCCCCCCCCGCCCCAGCCACCCCGAAGCTCAGCCTCAACAGAGAAGCTGTCACCCAGGCTAATATTGATTCTGAATACTTCACTTGTGCTCTCCACACTTTTAATTAGCAGCTGAATACCACATGCACAACCAGCGAAGGAATACACAAAGACCTTGAATCCCCAAAGGGAGCAGAAAGTTAGCTTAGCGGCAGAATGCCCTGTCAGGTACACTTACTCGTGTGTCCCTGTATTTGTACACCCACTGTTTCATTGTACAATCACAATTCATGTTCTTATGCTGAGGCTCTAAACCATTGAGCCAACATCCATCTATCCATCCATCCATCAATCCATCATCTATCCTCTCCAGGGCTGCCCAAGCACAACCAGGATGGGATGCCAGTCCATCACAAGGCACATACACACAAATACACTTTGGGCAAATAGCCTACCTGCATGCCTTTGGATTGCAGGAGGAGATGAGTACCTGGAGGGAACCTGCATGATACTGGAAGAACTCCATACAGAGACCAGGATCAGAGGTAGATTTCAAAACCCCAACACTGATGGTGCGAGGGAACAATGCTAATCACTGAACCACCCTTATCAAGGCTGTGTCTGAACGAAATACTCAATCAAAGTTTAAAAGTACTACATTGTTTTTTAAGTATATCTTTTCTGCATCCACAATTTTTTCTCTATTCATTTCAGTTATATTTTGATAGGCCATAGAGGAAAAATGATTGAGCATTTCATTGTTCATAACTCATTTTCTACAAAAAAGAAAAATTCAAAGTAGGCCCTGCAATTAAAAAAAATTATGTTACCTAAGCATAATTTGACAAGAAAAGTGTGACTGGAGATGAATCCGAGGACAATTTATTCCAACAGGTGATGCTGCCAGCTCCTCACCTCCATCCCTAGGTTGCCCTCACCTCCAGATGGCTGGATAAATGGTTGGCCACTGCATGGATCAATCTGCTATCCATTAGTTGGGCCTGCTGTCCACTTGTGAGACAGAGCCAGCCTTGGAGACTTTCTCTGGCCACATAAGTACACAACATTTTTCCACCGATAATTAGGTTTCTTCAAAATGCTTAACATTTCAACCCGCCTTCCAATACACCTGCAAGAAAAAGGAAAAAACAAGACATTAATATCATCACCACGATAGTGATAAATATTACATTACACAGAAATTATATAGCTGTTCTGCTTTTATGTGAAAGAACAGATGAATTTTTGTAGCTCGACACCCTGCAGCCATATTACAGCAATATTTGTTTTATTATTTATTCCACCCAACATTGATATCGGCTAAGAAGTGGTTGAAGGCACCACATACCTCACAATGTTATATTTCCATTTCAAAAAGCAGCTCTTCTCCAGTGCCCCAACAACATTCTCATTGCTGATGTCAATAATATAATGAGAAATAACACTGCTGGCTTGCCTGAGACAACGATCTCCCAAGTTTCCTCAAGTCTGGCGTCATGCACATTACGTTCCCTGATGTAAGAAACTTCCAGAAAGAGGTGTGATCTCTATAACACCTTGCAAGATAACTTAAAATCTTTCAAGAATTCTCTGAATCTGTCAAACTTTGACCTCATTGATGAAACTAAACTGGTAAAATGGGTACACACATGAAGGTATGGTCCATCTATGTAAAATGTGTGATCAGTGCCTGACAAATCTACTCGCACAAGACTCTACTGATACGTGCCTCTGTCTATTGCTTTTCTACGTATTTTTTTGACATAATGGCACCCGTGGCATCTCTGCAACTGGCGTGCTGTAACACAAAAGGCTTCTTGGGGACAGGCAGCATGTGGTGTGCAATGGGGCATCGTCTAATTGACAGGAGGCACTCTGACAGCTTTTAGTCCTGGGAAACCTCTGTCCGTTTTGAGTGAGACCTCAAAGGTTATGTTCCTCCTTATACTGATTTTTTTCACATAGCTGTTCTTATACAAGCATTCCTATATACACAGACATAATATATATATATATATATATATATATCACACATTGGCTACTTATATTTGGTGGATGGATGTGGTCTTTGATCCTACATTCATTTTTTGCAACCACTAGTCCTGGGTCATG